TTGTAGTATTTGTGAGCTTTTAAAAATTACCAAGAATGAATTCTAAAAAATATTAAAAATGAAATAAATTTTCTTTCTTTTTTTTTTTTTAAAGATTTTTATTGGGGAATTGGGGGAAAGGGAACAGACAAGTTGCTATCCTTTTGTTCTTCAGTCTAGTTGTTGAGGACGCTGCTTCACTGGCCCAAGTTGGCACCATCATTGTGCTCTTCCCGGCCAAGGCAGATCAGTCGCTGGCCTCTGGACGGCCGCTCACAGTGGCTGTTGGCCGCTCACGCTGGCTGCTGTAGCCCATGGCAACCCACCTGCCATTGCTGGTGACTCACGACAGCCCAGCTCCAGGTTGAGCTGTTGTTCAGCATCTTAGCTGTGGAGGGCAGTGTCACTGGCCCTCATATATGGGATCCGAACTGAGGCCTTCTGGCATCCCAAGCCAGCTTTTAACCATTGCACCACTCAGCCTGCCCTCTTTCTTTTCTTTCTTTCTTTTTTTTTTTTTTTTAAAGGTTTTATTGGGGTATTGGGGGAGGGGAACAGACAAGCTGCTGTCCTTTTGTTCTGCAGTCTAGTTGTAGAGGACGTCGCTTCACTGGTCCATGTTGTTATTATCATTGCGCTCTTCCCGGGTGAGGCAGTCGCTCGCCAGCCATTGGAGGGTCGCTCATGGCGGCTCACGAAAGCACATGCCAGCTGCCGGCCAGCCCCACTATAGCCTATGCTGTCACCGGCAACTCACGACAGTCTAGCTCCAGGTCGAGCTGTTGTTCACCATCTTAGCTGTAGCAGGCTCAGCGTCACTGGCCCATGTGGGATCCAAACCGGGGCCCTGCTGCTCAGAGCTGGTGTCCCAAGCCAACTCTTAACCAACGCAAAACTCGGCTGGCCCGAAATAAATTTTCTTAATAAAAAAAAGTTTAATGGTTCCTAGATAACATCAAGAGCCAGCTGAAAGCAATTTGATTTCTAACTTTACTCTCTAAAGCAAAAACAAAACAAAGAGCTTTGACTCTTGAATTAAAACTTGTTGGTTTTAGGGAGGAACAAAATCACACAACCATGCAAATGCAAATCCTGTGACACGTGTTTTCAAAACAAAACATCAGTTAGGGACTCAATATTCAAACTTTACTATGAACTACTTCTAGTTCCCCCAATGACTCCATGCTCTCTTGCCTCTCTTTTCACATGTGCCCACTAACAGAAAATTCTTCTACCACATCTCTACCTGGCTGACTCCTACTCATACTTTGGGTCTTAACTTAAAAATCACTTCCTCCAGAAGAATTCCTGATATGTGTTAGATATATACTTCAGAGTACTATCCACTTACCCATATCACAATATATTTTAATGGTTCGTTCACTTGTTTGCCTTTCTCCCTGCCTATCCCTTACAGGGCAGTGACTGTGCCCATCTTCTTCATGTAGTCCAGCATGGTTCCTGGCACATAGGAAGTGTTTTTATTAAACTATTTTTATTTTCAGGCTGCCTCCATGTAAGGATGCCAAATAAAACTCTTTGACCAAAAGCTTTTGAAATGAGGTATGCAGAGAAGGTAACAATCTAGTTCAGATAACTAAATACAGCAAATGGCAATCTACCTAAACATGTACTTAAATCAGGCACCTCTAGGGCATTACATTTTATCACATTTACAAACAGTTTCTTACTAGTCATTATTTTCATTAAAAACAAAGTTTTCCAATTAGATTTATTAAATTAAGTAATTTAGTTCAATTTAGTTGAATATTTATTAAGATAGTGGTAAAAAGACAAGAAGGAAATACAGAACAGCTAAAGTGGTTTAACTGCTAATCTGAATAAATGTTCAATGTTTAGAATGAAAAAAAAAGTGGAGAATTGAGTTTAAATGGTTGAGGTTCTCTATTGCTAAATCATCTATTCAAGAGTAGTATTTATATCAACTACAAAAGCATTTTGGAAGCTAGTCTTCATACTCATACACACAATCTACAAGTCAATATATGTGAAAACACAAATCAATAATTGTTGAATACTTCAAACCATTAAATATCAAGATTCCCATTCTGAATTATCATAAGGAATCTATTCAGAAGAATCAGGCCTATTATATGTATTAGTTCAGGTTTAGAAAAACATCTTGTGATATAGAAAAATAAATTGACAATTTTATCAACAACTTTACAACAGACATCTATAGATGATAAGAAAGATTATTATTATTTTCAACTGAAAACATAATTTTTAATATTTTGCTTCACTTAACCAAATTACTTACTACAAAGGATATGGTTTCATATATAATATAAAATAATGAAGAACAACAATAGCACTCAACCTATAATAAGGTATGATTTAGTTACTGAAATGATTAGATGTGCATACTAAACTCCTGTTCAAATGTGACAGATTTGAACAGGAATCACTAACTGCCACCTGCAGGCATATCATGTCAAGTGTGTATGAACAGTAATTTCATGACAGTGGCGCCAAGGGAAATATCCCAAGATTCTTTGTACAAGTTAGAACAATAACAGACGTAGTTGATTTATGGCTAATTGAAGGATTAGTGTCAAAGAGCTTATTAAAATTCATTCTGCTTCTTCTAATTCTAGAAATAGGTTAGTTTCTCCAAAAAGTACATACATAGATAATGTATATAAACAAACAGAAGTGGTTGTCAACCACACTTTTCCAAGCTCAAACATAAATCTCTTCCTTCTTTTGGCTACAAGATTAGCATCTAAATTATTTTAATTATGATGACTTCTGCAAACATATTGAAAATAATCACTAGTTTAATTAATTAAAGATGTCCAAAGGGCACACACAGTTGAATTCATTAGCATGAAGAAAAATACGTGATTTTATATAATACCTGTAGTGACAAAGGAAAGATCTATTTAATTAAAGTTATAATTCTGTGCTACCATAATAAAATGACTTCTTTAATTAGGGATATTTTTACAAATGACTCAGAAGAAAACCGCACTGATAACTTTTCAGTACTAGAAATAATATGGAAGGTTTGGGAAAAGTCACAGGATGGGGGAGAAAAGAGGATGGAGATATTAAAATTAGTAATTTTATTTAGTTCCTAGACATTTTAGGAGTTTCCCTGCCTCTAATTATTATTCTGCTAGGTAAGGTGTTTGACACATGTCTACTGGGAAGGGCTTAGATTGGAGGTAGGTAGAAGTGAATGTACTAACTAGAATTCTGTTATTTATAAGCTGTATGATCCTGAGTAAATCATTTTATATTCATTCAGCCTTAAATTCCACATAAATAAAAAATAATAATTTCTCCAATCTGTTTAATTGTAATATTAAGAAATTCTGAATGTTTCAAATTCAAGCCATTTTGAATCTTCATATCCTGTACATACAAAATGTATAAATCCTTGTACATATAAAATATAAAAGGAAGGATTAAAAATGAAACAAACCAAGTAACTAGTTATAGCATATAGATAGACAGGGCCAAACTGTATATTCTAAATTTGATAAGTCTATTGAGGCCAACTCTTCACTTTTCTGTTAACTGACTACCACCCAAAAAGTTGCCTCTCCCTAAAAACAGTGAAATATAAGAACCTTGCCCTGCTCTGGCTATACACTTCTACAATCAAAGAAGCCTGGAACTGAACTAAGTCCACAAATGAAAAAGTTAGCCACAGTGAGCATGACAGAGTTGCTTTGCCTGTATTTTCCTAATCTTAATACCTAATTTGTTTGCACCAGCTGTAAACTACAGAGCAGATCAATGCAACATGTAACCTCAAAACTAAAGCTGTTAGGTTCTAGATTAAGAGGTATACTTCAAAATTTGAAGTGAGTTACAAAGGAAAACTACATTGATATTGAGAGTATGGCTCCTAAATCATCCTAATGAAAACAAAATATTATCATAATATTTTAAATCTATATGTAGGACTTTTTATACAACAACTTAAAGCTTTTTATAGAAATTGCCCAATTAACTTTCCTGACACTAAGTGTCAGGTATTATCTGATATTTTCCAAAGGTGGCAAAAAGAAAAGTTACTTTGCCAATGACATAGCTCCCTTTTCCACATTTAGTGTTTTAACTTATGAAAAATGGTGCATAGCTCCATGAGAAATTATATTAACTGTAATTCCTCAGCCTTTTGAAAATGTTTGACTTCTCACTGGATGCAAGTACAGAGACAGTGTATTATTTTGCTTAGGAGTTCACCTAATAACTTAGTTCAGCATCTTCCTCACTGTAGGCACTCAGTATATATTTGCTCAATGAATAAAGGCTATTAGTAACAGCAAACAATTACTAGAGCTATATGTCAGGTGCTGTGCTAAGTGTATTACACATATTATTTCATTTAATCCTACCAACAATTCAAAGAGGTAAGCAAATTATTACTTCTCATTTTACTGATGAGGAAACTAAGGCTTAGGTTAAGTAACTTGCCCAGGATTACAAAATGATAAAGTCAGCATTTTAACAAAGGTAGCCCAACTTTAGACCCTGCTTAAAGATCATCATTGTAGAAAGAACAACAGGCTAGCAGTAAGAAACTATATCTATTGCCTCAACCACCAAATCCCAGGAGAGGAGGGAAATTTTTTTTGCTGATCTTTATATCTCTAGTATGGTACCTGAGTCACATTATTCATCATCAAATGTCTCCTGAATAAAATTTAAAATTGCATAACTAAATTAGGCTTCATTGTCCTTAACTGTAAAACGGAGATAAAGGTACTTGCATAGTCTGCCTTAGGTTCTCAAAGTGTAGTCCCTGGACCTGGAAACACTGTCAGAAATACAAATTCTCAGATGTACTGAATCAGAAACTAATATTTTAACTAGCCTTCCAGGTGATTTTCATGCATGTTAAAGTTTGAGAAGCCCAGGTCTACCTTACTTATAGGATAATTATGAAAATCAAATGAGTTCAATAATGTGGAAGCACCCTAAAAATAATTTGGTTAATGTGACAGTTCACCCCAGAGATCAGGCATGCTGCACAGGCTTCTTACCTGACCAGTGTCCAGAGGAGATACCAGATCTGTCTGTGCAGGTCTCACTTACAGGTCTAAAGACAGTTTCCCATCCACCAGTAGCATAGCGCCAATTCTGAGATTCCAAGATAAGTGTTCGCTGGGTGCCATATGCAATCATGAAGCAATAGACCACATGATGGAGTTGACAGCCATAGCCACAGCCTTTATTGATATTACATACTAGCTTCTTCGCTTTGCTGCAGTCCTTGGGATTCTGTCAGGGAGGAAGAGAAACAAAGGTGAAGATAAGCTGTACAGAGAGGCCAATGTCTCTTCATAGGTGACAAGTGCAAAAATCATGTAATAAGCCAGGGTTGATCCAGTATGTTTCATAAAGCAAAGAATCTAGCTTTAAAGATTGAATTTCAAAGAATTCATTAAAAATTTTATGTGCATACTTAGGGAGATGTCAGTGAAAAAGAATAGTTACTTTGGAAACATCACTAAACAAATGTGAAATTACAGTTACATTTAAAAGAATACTCTTTTCTCTATCAGAACATGCAAATGTGAACTCGACATTGCTTACATTGAGATCTTTATGAAGGAAGTAAACTAGTTCATTTATTCCAGCTGCACATCAGCATTCTGAGCTGACTTTCCCTGATGAAACTCCAATCATCTTAAAGGAAAAATTAGAATTTACCTATTAATTCGATCTACCTCCATAGTTCTAGATGTTACTAACAAAATCATCATGGAAGTTAAAGCCACTGAGTGAAAGGATATCTGAGTTCTATAATTACAAAATATCAGTCATGGGACTTTTTTAAAAAACCAATCTTGATGACAGCTACTAGTTATAGTAACTTTCACAATAAAATACAGAACATGCTCTAGATTACTAAAAACTTGAGAATCAGTTTTTAATCAGGAGATTCATTTTCCTATTTGTATACTTTGCTATAAAAAGGATAGAAAGTGGTTAAAACACTTAATATTATCTAACAGTGGGTGCAATGGGGTTAGCTACTCTGAGAATTTCTTTTTTTCCATTCTAAAGTTTCAATAAGGCTGTAATTCATATGCACTATTGCTAAATATGCCTACGCATCTTAGTTCTTCAAATAAAAATCTGTTTTGACAAGGACAGTTTTTCAAGCTGTTTGTCTTCAAGGGAAGACAAAGAATGAGCACCATCAGAAACAGAATCTTGTCTCCCACATAAGCAAGAAGGTAACCAGTTCTCAATTTACATGAGCCTTGAATGAAAGAAACAGTTGCCAAGCAGGTATTTTCTAGGGATATTATCTGTTCTGTCAAGTAGAGCCCTAGAAACAAAAGCTAGGATAGTGAGGCTATAAAGTGATGACAAAGGAAAAGCTGAGAGAGGGAAATGCAGCACAGTTACTTTCAGAAGACGTTATCTTTCATATTCAAATATGCCAGTGCAGGCTGGCCTTTTTAGATTAAAGCAGAACCTATACCATCAACAGCCTTCTGAAGAGTTAGAACCCTAGGAATCCAAGAGAGCCCAGATAAAATTCAGCAAGATCTGGTCATTACTGCTTTCCCAGTCAAGTACTGTGTGGTGCTGATTCTTTTCGCTTGAGACTGAACTCATGGCAGACTCCTATGGCAATAACCATTCCCAATCAAGCTATTATAGCCACAGAAGATTTGAGGGGACAGAGGGGTGTGATGTTATGTGGTACGGGAGACCAACATCATTTACTTTCTGTACAATATTATTCAAGGATCCTGAGAATAAATAACATTCTCAAACTGATCCAAAGCTTTATTATTGACTCAATAGTTTATCAAGAAAGCAAATAAAAAACATTTACATTTGCCAGATTTTTCATGCTTTGTAAGAAATATAACACTTTACTATTTCTAAAATTCATATGAATGAAAAAGAAAATTTACTTCATATATTTTTCGATAAACTTTTAGAACAGTTTTTAGAACAGTTTTATCTTTACTGCAAAGATAGCACAGAGATCCCATATACCTCACACCCAGTTTCCCCTATTATTATATCTTACATTAGACTTCATATTTTTAAGAAGAAAAAAAAGAGGAAACATAGTAATTAAAACATCTGATCTTCAGTCTTGAAGGAAGAAGGTTTTTTTTATTTAAAAGAAGACTAACTCCTGCATTTAACAAAACATATCTACTGTGTTTCTTAAGAGAAGAGTTTCATTAGAACTCAGTGCTCCAAGGACAAGAACTGAAGCCTAAGAGGAAGAAGAGGGCAATTTATGAAATGAAGTTTAAATCACAAGTCTTAATGTACTTCAAATCAAGCTAAAGAGAGAATCTTAAATCTTTCTGTTATGTCATAGGTAACACTGATAAAGGGGGAAAAAAGTCCCTTACGTTTTGTTCTGAATGCGAAAGGTCTACATATACAAGGTACCAATGGAAGACTCCAAGGAAGAGAGTGATAAGAGAAAATGAATGACTGGATTGATAATGATAAATAAAACACTGAAAAAGCTCAGAACCACAGCCCCACCTCATCCCCTTCTTTTTTTACTAAAATAATTTTTACAGTCTGGAAAATTCAAAGATCTATTGCACAAAAGATTCAGAAAAAGGCAGAGAGACAGTGAGAAATACAAAAAGTATATGTGTTCCTAACACAACATTAGGCTCACCAGAATAGGTATCTAGAAAAAACAAGCAGGTATTTATAAAGTTAACAAAGCAATAACTCTTGAGATAGGGAGTTATTCTGATGGAAAGGAACCTTGTAGGAAACCCCTTATCAGAGCTAAGTCAAACATATCTCATTTATCCTCATAATCTCAAGAGACATTATTGCACACTGGATAAGAGCAATACCTTTTGTATTTAGTGCTACAAGGTGCCCCAATCATGAGCCTTTATAAGCTAAGTGCTTTGTAAGTAACATTTTTAGTTATAATTCTGCAGCAAAGCTATCACCATAGTACACATAAATCAAGAAATGATGACTTAAGATAAAATTGGGTTCATCTGTATTCACTTCCTTTTCAGTTTGTTTTTTTTTTAAATAGTATCTGAGGCATTTCTTCTGACACTGTTAGCTTCCAAGAATGACCCTATCTCAACAGAACTGTAAGCTATATTTGTTTTTACTGTCCTATAAATCAACATTGGGAAGTATATTTAAATCAATATGCCTCTAACTAAAATAGCATATTAAAGGAAGCAGTATCTCTGAAACCTAAATGATTACTAATTCACTAAAGGCACCATCATAATGTTGAAATATTTTAGTCTTTTACTTTGGTTAAAATATGAAAAATTACTGTTGGACATATTTCAAATTAGGAAGCCAGCTTAATTTCTTATTCTTTTCTAGCACAGTAGAAACATTGCTAAAAAAAGTGAACTGACTAGTAAACCACAGCCATTATTATATTACCTAGGCATTGCTAGGTTTTAGCGGTTTCCACTGCCTTCACTTAGTAAATTAGTAGTAATTATAAATTAACGATGTAATATGACAAAACAGTACTGATTCCATGGCTTTTAAATTAAATCTCAGATAAAGCCTTTTGCCATGACTACTTAGATTTTCCATACACACAAAGACTCTTGAGGAAAATCGTCTAGCCACAATGTAATTTCTCTCACTTCTCTGCCCAGAGTTACTTAGACCACAACATTGCAGGAAAAGACTAACATACACACACACACACACACACACACACACACACACACACACACACACACACACACAATATCTAGTCAATATAAACTCTTGCAAAGATTAAATGCTTAATAAACTATTAGGTCAACGGAATTGCATGTATGGAGACAAAAGTGATGTTAAGTCCATAGTGACAAAAATAAATTGGCAAGCCAGGATTTAGAATTCAGGTCTGTCTCAGTCCATTATCCAGTGCTCTTATCCATCCCCCCATGATGTCTTCAGTACAAGACGCAGCAAGAAGTACAGGCTCAGAGCACTTATTTGGTCATTTTTCCCCAGCTTTATGGATGTACACTTGAGAAATAAAAACTATATATTTAAATTGTATGCAACATGATGTTATATGTATACAGTGAAATGATTACCACAATCAAGCTAATTATCATATCCATCATCTCACATAGTTATGATGTATTTTTTTATGAGAACACTTAAGATCAACTCAGCAAATTCAACTATACAATACAGTATTATTAACTATAGTCACCAAGCTATACATTAGATCTCTAGAACTTATTTATCCCACATAGTGAACTTTTGTACCCTTTGATCAACATACCTCAATGTCCCCCACCTCCCTGTCCCTAGTAACTACTGTTCTACTATCTGCTTTTATGAATTTGACTTTTTAAGATTGCACATTTAAGTGAGATCATGCAGTACTTGTCTATGTCTTATTTCACTTACCATAATGTCTTCCAGGTTCATCCATGTTGCAAATAGCAAGATTTTCTTCTATTTTATGGCTGAATAACATTCCATTGTGTGTGTGTACGTGTATGTATATATAAAATCATATTTTCTTCATTCATTCATTCATTCATTCATCCATTGACAGACACATAGGTTGTTTCCATATCTTGCCTATTATGAATATTGCTGAAATGAATATGTAGGTACAGCAAGATAGTGATTTCTATCTCTTCATTCTTTTAGATATATACCCAGAAATGGTAATTCTATTTTTAAGTTTTTGAGGACCCTCTATAAAGTTTTCCATGACTGTACCAACTTACATTCCCACCAACAGTGAACAAGGGTACCCTTTTCTTCACATCCTCAATACTGACCTGTTGTGTTTTTGATAATAGCCATTGTAACAGGTATAAGGTGATATCTCATTGTGATTTGATTTGCATTTCCCTGATGATTAATGATTGGTCGACCATTTGTATATCTTCTTTTGAAAAATGTCAAGTCAGGTCGTTAGCCCATATTTTAATTAGGTTTATTATTACTTTTTGCTATTTAGTTGAGTTCCTTATATATTTGGGTGTTAACCCCTAATTGGACACACGGTTTACAAATACTTTCTCCCATTGCACAGATTGTCTTTTCATTTTGTTCACTGTTTTGTTTGCTGTGCAGAAGCTTTTTAGTTTGATGTATTCCCAGTTGTTGATTTTTGCTTTTGTTGCTTTGGCTTTTGATGTCTTATCCAAAAACTCATTGCCAAGATCAATGTCAAGGAGGCTTTTCCCTATGTATTCTTCTAGTTGTTTTATGGTTTCATGTCTTATATTTAAGGATTAAAAATCCAAATCCTGGGGATCTTTCCAGCGCCT